CCATAGACACCCAAGCAAACTACATGCATTCTAGTGGCCCAAAGACACCGTAAGAGAAAAGTTCAGTTTAAATAACAGGGTTTTTTTTGGGGGGGTTGTAAATTAGTCATACAGCAATGGCTATATAATATAAGGCATCAGATTTTTACTTTAGTGGAATTGCTTAATTTTTGTATTGTTAGATGATGCTGACTGTCAATATGTTACCTGTTAGTAAGATTGCAAGACATAATTACAACTAACAAAAAAGTTATAAATGAATTAGGATATCATACATCCAGAAAAAGCCATTTTGGAATCTTTTTTATAAATAATCCATATAACCAAAAATACTATTTGCAAAATAAATGATTGCAGAGGTATTAGGTTTACAGATAAATGAGGGTCTGAGTTAATGTACCAAGATAGTAAACATACCTCAAAGATAATGTAGGCTCAATTCTAAATCATTTCAACAAAGCTGATGTCAACACATACAATGTAGGCCTTTTTCCTTGCTTTCCCAATGTACATGAAGTTATGTTTATATGACTTTGCAGTTTACTAAGTGTGTAATGCATTTTGCTTGTGAACAATATCTATACCTTAATTAGAATGCTTTATTGATAATGTATACTTACAGTCAGCAGCCTTCATAGAAATTGTCACTGTTACAAGGCCTTATCTTGATGTTGACAGCTGCTAACTGACCACTGTGGGGGTTTCAGAAGGTTGGCTGGCTAAGTCAATGTCTTAAAATATACAGCAGCAAAGTTTGCCACATTGATTGATGTTTGCTTTTACAAAAGATTTCAGGGTAGCATGCGACACTGTTTGACAGCACTTGATTCACAGCAGAATTTTCTCAAAATTAACATCAATCCAAGCAAGCCTTCTCGCCCTTTTATTGGCTAAGTTTAAGATGCCAGTTGCTGACCTCTTTTGTTGTCATTTCAACATTCTGTGGAACCTCTTCAGCAGTAGATTCTACCTAATCAACTAATGTACGTGAAGCAGCTCCTTGTGTGGAAGAAGCCACATACATCTGCACCGTGAATCCTTTCCAGATAAACTGTAGTCCAGCAGCTGAAGACTCAGAAAACAATTACACTTAAATAGGTGCCAAGTTTGCATCTTTTTCTTGTCCTCCAGAAGGGATTATAAACAGGTATATGGTGAACAGAAATTACCTTTCACTGTCAGCTCTTGGGTGGTCAGGGGCATTGTCACTGAGCAGTAATACTTTCAAAGGACTATCGTTTTCCTTCATAGTTGACCACTACTGTAAGTGAAAAACCTCAGTAAGCTATTTTCTACACACATATGGGGTCACTCAGCATTTCTTAGTCTATTTACAAAACACTGGGGCAGTAAATTTAAAATGCATAGTGTCTCTAGGAATCTCAGGATGGTATGTGAACTTTCACTTCAGTGAGAAGTCACCAGCTGTATTAATCCTTTCGCCCTAATGTGGGTGTGAGTCTGACCTTTGAATCCAGGGCTTGAATTAACCTCTCTATGAAACCTTTCTAGCTATGAAAGTCCTTGATGCATTTTTACTCTGTGTAACCCTTAGTGCTCTAGATTGAGAGTCTGCTGTTTAATGTACTCACTTTCCTCATTCATTAAAAAGAATCCCCTGGAAAACATGCTGCAGTTTTTACATCAGCACTTGCTTCACACTGAACTATGATTTTGTCATTGTGTTACGGGGAAAATTTCTGATCTTAAACCTCTTGCATCAACTACTTTCAAGATCACCTTTGTAGTTTCTTACATGTTTTAAGTAAAGAGTTAAAGTCTTATTCTGTGTTAGTCTTTGACCTAACAGAATGCTGTACCTGGTTTGATCTAACAGATCATTGAATGTTTCATTGCATCAGCACAAGCCTGGCTTGTTTATTTGGCATTTGTGAGCTCATGAAGCGGCACTTTTGATGTCTCCAGGTGCTTTTTTTGTTTCTCTGCACTGACAACTTGGTAGTGGTTTGCTTCAACAAACTTAGTGTGTAACCCTCCTGAGCTCTTCTCATGCCTTCCTCTCTTCCACTTGAACATTTGCAGGCCACTTTCAGGATATTGATTGACCTAAATTCAATGAGTTAAGAGTCAAGGCCTAAGGAAGCTGAAGAAGAGGAACACTTGGAGGAACAACCTGAGCAAGTAACAGGAAGAACACCATCATTTGGGGCATATATTCTGATCACTTCAAATAGAGTAGTTTCATCAATGACAGTGGATCATAGATCATTAAAGCAGATATAATAAGACTAAGGAAATTTCAAATATTTTGACAATTACCAAAGTACAACACAAACAAAAGGACTGAAGGAATCCCTGTTGCATGACAATGGCACACACAAAGGTGAAGAACACTCCTGAAAAGAAACACACCTTCTACTAAACCTTTTTCAAGGCTAACTAACATATCGGAATTTCAAAGATGTTGAGAATTTGGGATGTTGCAAAGCCACAGATAAGTTATCTAGGGGCGTCTTTATCACTACTCTTAATAGTCATTAATTTCCTTCCTCTGTACACGACCCAATATTTTTACAGCCATCAGATAAATCCGTTGGTATGTATGAATAGAAACCTAGTTTATAACCAACTGAAGAGTCAAGAGTGCTTTCAGATGTCATCTGAAGCCCATAGCTGAGACTTCATTGCCTTGCTATAGCCCACAGCTAATATTGCTACAAATGTATTTTAAAAGTACCTTGATTTGTTCTGTTACTATAAAGGCATCATCAAACTGTTCCTGCTTTGGAACACTGAATACAGAAAAATCTAAATCTGTGTTGCTGGGCCACAGTCACTCATACTGGTTCCAGATTAAACCACCTCTCCTCTTTGAGGTGAGAATTATGTGTTTCAGTCAACACAAACCTGATTCAGAGTTTCCCAGCTTTCCATTTCTAAAGAATGCAGTATCTCATAGATGCAATAAAATAAATTGTAATAAAACAAAGTGATGGGGAAGTACTTCTGTGTTTGTTTATCTTATTGATTGTTAAATAAAATACTGTTTGGCCAATGAGACAGCAAGTAGACGGGACTAGGAGTCAAAGAGGATTCTGGGAAATGTAGTAGAGAAGTGTGTTCCAGGCAGGAAGTGACATAGCAAGGAGACTCATATTTAAGTGAAGGAGAAACAGGAAGCGCCCCCTTTTTTTTCCCCTCCTGCTCCAGCGGCAAGATGTGATCCCAGCAAGGAGGGACGCCAATAAGGTGTCCGATAAGATAAGTCTTATAAAATATATGGGTTTGTGATGGTTGGGACTGAGTTAGCAGATGGGAAGTCCTAGTCATTGGCCAGGCGGCTTTGTGCCTAGAACAAGTTTCTGTGTGTTCATTTGGGCCTAACTTGGGCGGGTGGATGGCACGGAGCACACACGTGGCGGTGGGGCTCAGGCGGCTTTTGGCGGAAAGATTTATTGTAACAACAAAGCATTCTATCTGGCTCTAGTTTAATACACAGCCTAGGACAAGTATATTTACTTAGATTTCAGCAATTTTTGTGCCTTTTCTCTATTTAGAGGATGCAAGTTATAGACCTGGAACCTAACCTGCTACTCTTGAGCACCTGAGAAATAATTGAGAAATGACATCATAAGGCTCATAATGACAAAAATTTACTCGGAAGAAAATCAGATGCCACAAATAGTCTGAATAAGAGCAGTGGAGACACTGATGGATATTTGCTAAGAGTGAAGGGAAGGAAGCGAAGTTAGATGGTTGTTAGAAGTAATTTGAATCTCATAAATATCTGGATCATTTTAAAGGAATCACAAAAAGTTCTGGTCTCATGTATCAAATATATATATATATTTGATATATATATATATGTGTGGGGGTATAATCTTAGTTTTAGGATTACATACTTGATATTTTTACCTGTTTCTAGATAAATTATGAAAGGGTAGAGGAAATTTTTAAAATATATTTTAAATATGATAAGTATAATACATATGATAAACAAAAAGGAAAAAAATATATCTGAGCTAATTCTACCATTAATATTTTCTTCTGATACTAAATGAGGGGAGTAAGAATTTTGAGATGAACCACTCCTTTCATAGTTAATACAGAGGAAGACCATGGTTATTTATGCCTAAGCTTTTACAGCACTTTTCCTGTTTCTGTTCTATACCCCAATGGTATTAGTTATCTGTGTAGTATTCAGTTCCATAGTCAAAAGCCTCCTGCTTCTTGTTGGTAGAGTCTTCAATAACTCACTGTGGCTACCAACTCACTGTCACAAGCTTAGCCTGGCTTTCATTAACCTCCAGGAAGTCTTCCTGCAGAGCAGTGGCTAGGTCCAGCTTCCAAAGTTGAATTATGACTTCACTATCAGCTGTGTGTTGGGTATGGTAATCAAAACCCTGTATTTCAGTGTCTTTATCTGAGAAAGAGGATAATTATCTTAACAAGCTCAAGTGTTTATTGTGAAAATTAAAAGAAATAACCATGAAGTGCCTTTTATCAGGGCTATTTGACTATCAAACAATCAGAAGACTATGGTCTGTTACCTCAGAGAAGGTTGTGATTATGGTGTTATAAATGCAAACTAGCACTATCTGAAACATGAATTATTATTTCCATTTTGCATATAAGGGAGCTAAGAATACACATTCAAAATGATTTCTGCAAAATCTAAAGATGACTCTGTGCTTCTACCATAGTTCCCCTTGTGTCTGTTGTGTTCCAGGTTGTGGGCACTTTTCACTTTAATTGATATCTATCCAGTCTTGGCACTTGCTGCTGTACTGGGGAAGTTTTAACACAAGAGTACAAAGAGAGTGAACTCTATTGATGTGCTGCCTGACTCAGGACTCAAAGGGGGCAATGATGCTCAGTCTGAAAACTCTTGTCTGAGTGTTGGAATTGTAGGATGGGAGGACATCTATAGGCCAGTCATATAAAAAATTACAGTATTCTCTGACTAAAGCTGTCTTCATGCAGTGTATGAAACTTTATTAGGATTGGTAATCAGAAAGTAGAACATTTTGTTATCTTACCTATATGTTGCCCATACATGTGGTAGAAGAAACTGAAACAATATGCAGTGTTTGTTGGCCCATAGGGATTTTTGGGAGCTATGCTGAAAACTGGGCTGAGAAGTCGAGCCTTTTCGCCTTCTAGTCTGGGTCTAGATGTCTCAATGTACATATAAAAACCTGAAAGTAGGAGAAGCAAGTATTGAAGTGCATTCTTATGAGGAAACAGAATGTTATTGTGACGTTTCAGAGCTTGGATTCAAAGTCAAGGTTGATACTATTGTATAAATCTCATTTATGAAAGCAGCATGGCTATGTACAATTATATTTTATCATGATTTTAACAGAAAAAATAAGATGTAAAGAACTGAGAGAAATGATAATTTTAGAGATAATTAGCACAAAAATAAACAATAACACTCCGATCTCTCAACTCTGCTTATCACGGAGTTTTGAGAAAACAATAATGACCACACCCTTTAGAAATAACTTAATTGTAAAGATATAATGATTTACTGTATGATTCTCAAGTACATAGGTCACTACACACTTGTACTGCACATTGAGAACATTTCCAGCTCTGTCATTGCTGTGTGCACACAGCTCTGTAAATCCCCCTACCTTCTTTGGAACCACTGCGATCAGCATTGGGCCCCGTGTTAGGAGTGTATTTTGTATTTCTTGTCGCAGTACTTTGTTTTGTCCAGTCAAAATTATCAGTATCATCTTGAGTGAACAAACAAATATTACCATCTTCAAATCCACAGTGAAATTCTCCTGTTAACACATTTTAATTAAAATAATAAATATTAATTAAATTGAGCATTGTAATGGTTTATTAGAAAAATTTCAAATACTGCAATGATTGCAGTACAGAAATGACTTCAGAGTCTTAATGGCACAGTTATCACCAAATATAAAACTAGTAAAATTTTTGGTGAAAAAGAGTAATGATTTTCTTAGGTTATTTTAATTTTACAAACTAGTAAGCTTTATTCTGGCATTTCCATATGCACACACAATGCCCTTTGATTGTATCACTCTCTTCCCATTTAACCGGCATGCCCTTTCTGCTTTTCTCTTTCATATTCCCTATAGTTCCCACAGAGTACCATCTTATTTTGCATTAAGGCAGTATCTTACTACATAATTAAGGCCCAAATCTTTTGTTCAGAAGCAAACAAATTACTCAAAATAATAAAACAATTCACATTTGACTTCTGACTGGAGAATTTTCCTAACTTTGTTTTTTAATGTAGTGGAACAGTTGAGGCAGAAGTGGTAATTAGGAAATAAACTTTCGAAAACAGGAATGGTGGCACAAACTCATAATTCCAACACCAAGGAAACTGCCATAGGAGAACCACCATGACTTAAACTGCACAATAAATCCCAAGATAGCCTTTACTATAGATAAGACCTTGTCTGAAGAAACAAAAGTAAAGAAAGCAAGACTTATGAATTCACCTGATAGCATTTTAAGCATGTACACCTTGAGCGTGTAATTTTTTATGCCCTGTCCTCTAGAAATACTCTTCTATACGCACATCTGCGACTCGGTGTGTTTGCTTAGGGCAAGGCAACAGTAAATTGCTTTTAAAGCAGTCATCATTCATGCTTGAGTTGAATGTGGGTTTGCCAGATGTGTGAAATCCACTTGAAGTGAATTTTATAAAATAACTTTATGTAGACCCCGAGGAAGGACCGGGAGTTTTTGATGCCTGCCATATGCTGAGTGAATTCAGAGAGAGACTTTTTCCACTTGCCACTAAATAGTGGTGGTGTTAATCCTATAATAGAAGATTTTTTTACTGGGATATATCCTGCTTCAAAAAGTGTATACATAGATGATCTGGTAAATTCCATCAGAAACATGAGTTGGGTGTAGCAATTGAAAGAATGTTAAATGTAGTACATATTCTTCTAGTCCACAAAATAAAGGACTCTGAAAATGTCAGTACTCTTCACTGTGAGTCTCACAAATGAGAAAACTTGGGTTCTGTCAGCTTTACTTGTTAAAAATAAACTCCACAAAGACTCCAGCTTTGCTGAAGTTCACAGAGAAAGAAACATCTAAAGACTCCCCCGCTGGAGTCCCTAGCACCCTTGCAAAGGGGTAGATCCAGTAGTCATCCTCAGGAAGGGGGAGCCCGGTTAGGATCAATTACCAGTTAAGTGAAGTCTCTTTCTTTACATTTAAGGAATATGTTTTTGTCAGATTAAATAGTTGCTGTGTATCTGTATATTTACTTATATTCTATCTAGATGGACATGTTCTAAAAGGACAATATTCTACATAAAATATTTTATTAAAAAACTATATTTCTTTATGTAAGTGTGTGTGTGTACCTTCAGTGTGGGGGTATTCCTGGAAGCCAGAATAGCTGGTGTCACGGGATGCCATGAGCTATCTGATTCAGGGACAGGGAACTGAACTCAGCCACTTTGGTAGTTCAGTAAATGTTCTTAACCACCAGACCATTCCTCCAGCCCAACACATCTTTCAGGCACATATTTCTGGTACTGGTTTTATAGGAAAGAAGACAGGATCTTAGAATGCTATCGGTCAAAAGCATAACATTTGTGACAGTACTGTGGCGATATACATGCTCATTTCTCCTGATGTTTTTTTAGGAACACTGCATAGTTCCTTTACTTGAGAGCTTTGATCACAAAGGAGACTGTTTGTAAATGTCTTCAGTTGTTTAGTCTCATATATTACTTATGAACAAAAGAAGGTCAAAGAGCAAATGGAAAGATGTATTTCAGAATTCTTGTAAAAACTTATGCTGTGGTGTTTAAAATTAAGTACAATAGGGCTGGAGAGATGGCTCAGCAGTTAAGATCACTGGCTATTCTTCCAGGGGACCAAGTTTGGTTCCCACCTTGCACATGGCTGCTAACAACCATCTGGAACTCCAGTCCCAGGAGTTCCAATGCTATCTTCTGTCTTCTGAGGACATGGCACACAAATAGCATACATCCAGACAAAACACTCATACATATCAAATAAATACATTTTTAAAAAGACCTGGTGAGAACCGTTTTTAAAAAATTAGGTAAAGTGGGGTTTTTTGGTTTTGTTTTTCAAGACAGGGTTTCTCTGTGCAGCCCTGGCTGTCCTAGAACTTGCTTTGTAGACCAGGCTGGCTTTGAACTCAGAGAACTGCCTGCCTCTGCCTTCTAATTCTGGGATTAAATTGCAGTAAAGTGACTTTTTAGAAGCATAAAATAATTTTATGATTTTCCTATCACTTTAAATTGGATAATTACACATATATGCAAGGAAGACTTCATATAAAGTTTATTCAATAAAGAATATTTGAAAAATAATGCACATTCACTGAGCTCCATAAACAGCAAAAGTCCGTGTAATACTGGATTTTAAAAGATCTCACAAATATGAAAAAAAAAGAAACCTGAGAATTTCTCAAAGGCAGACAAGTAATATTCGACTACATTTTCAATTTTTGATAGCATTCTGATTATAACACGATTTCTCAATTTAAAGACTGTGACACTTTGAGAGAGAAAGGCACCAGAGCTTGGTGTGTTTGAAGGTTTGATCCTTAGTTGGTGGAATAGTTCCAGAGGATTAGGAGGTGTGGCCTTGTTGGAGGAGGTGTGTCACGGGGTGTGGGCTTAGCGGTTTCAAATGCTCACATTATTACTGTTGGTGTGCCACGCCCCTTCAACTCATGCTTGTAGATCAGATGTAGGCTCTCAGCTACTGCTCCTTCCTGCTACCATGCTACCTGCCATAATAGTTATAGACTCCATGGAACCATGGAGTTATAGAACCCTCTGGAACCATGAATCTGAATTATATGTTTTTGTTTTGTTTTGTTGTTTTCAGTTGCCTTGGTCTCTTCATAGCAGTAGAAATAAAATTTTAAATACTCTACATTATGTGATCTCCAACAATTTATTGTATTTTGCCAAATATATTACAATATGGTAAAGAAATAACAAATTAGAAATAAAAAGCCTGGGACTCCATATGTGTACCAACCTATTCTATTTTTGCAGGGCCTGCAAAAATTGAGCCTTATATGAAAAAAAAGTGTTCTCTAGGACTGATATTGAAATTAATAAATAAGTATTTCATAGTAAATCCTCTTCTTACTTCAAATTATTTGCAGAGACAGGTGTTGGTTAATCATCATCGTCTACATACTAGATTTAGAATCATCTAGGAAACACATCTTTGTATATTCCTTGGGGTTTTAGTCTAGAGGTTTAACTGGGGAAGGAAACTCCCCCCTGAATATGGGTAGTACCACCTCATGGGCTGGGATCATTAGATGAAAGGGGGAAGGGGAAGAACTTGAAAGGCAGCAACACTCATGCATTTGTTTCCTGACGTTAGATTCCAGAGCCATGCCTTCCTGCCATAGAGAACAGTATCCCTATTTATATCATGAGAAAACACGAGTCCTGTTCCCCTCAAGTTGCTTCTACTAGGTAATGAATATGGGATGTTTTTATGTGTGGCACTAATTTTGAGGTATATGCACACAACTCTTCATCGTGTATTTATAAAATGCAATGTAATGCAAAATTCAAAATTCAAACCAAAATGGGATCAAATATATTAGAACTTATATTTACATAAATTTAGTGACTTGTGACCAGGTGTGGTGATGCATGTTTGAAATACTTATATTTAAGTGGTAAAGACAGAATGATGATCTATGTTCTAGGCTACACTAGACTATGTAGTGAGGCACAGCTTTTAATAGATACAATGCTAAAGTAAAATATTATCATGTATAAGGAAAACCTCAAATACAAATCAAGGGATGGAGTGATGGCTCATTGAATAAAATCACTTTCAGCACATACATGGTGACCTGAATTAAAACCCAGGGTACTATGGTATAAGTAGAGAATTGATTCAGGAAAGTTGTCCTATGACCTCCACAGAAGCAAACTGGGAACAGCTGTACCCCACCACACACACCATATACACACATTATGCACACATATGCATTAGCAATAATAATTATTACTATAGTAAATGGCTTTACTAAGTAACCTTAATCTTTATGAGAAAAAGACGACAAATCCAGAATCAAATCAAAGAAGCACAACAGCAAAGTGGACACACAAATGATATTCCACAAAAACTAAAATGAATCCCACAGTGAATCCAGAACAGTGAATGTTAATTAGTTTGGGGAAATGACTCCACATTTCCTAACTTAGCTAAATGTATAAGAATCTATTATCACTATCAAATTATTTGTTTTTAATATCTGATAAAACCGTAACCACTGAACTTTAAAGTGCATAAGAATGCCAACCATTCTGTTTCAAAATCGTTGTTTTATACCAAGTAAAACAGTTTTTTTTACCTAATGTTTGTACATTTATATGTATTCCATTTTTCTTCACTATGTAATATAATATTATTTCTCAAGTGAAAAATAATATACTTACTCAAATGAGGGTTTACAGGTGCTAGAAGAGAAGAAAAACAAGAAAAGAGAGAAAAAAATATAAGCAAGGCTTAGAAGTCATATGTAAATAAAAATCTAATAGGCTACTCAGAATCCTATAGTTTCTTCCAAAATCTAGTGATGGCAGTGGGCAATTATATCTGCAGTGTATTTTGTTGTATGGGACGGAGTGCATTTTACTTTCAGCTTATATTAAGAACTTCGAAGTACTACAAAGATCAACATTAGAGAGCACAGGGGCATTGATCGCTTTCCAATCAATGGCATTGTTAAATTTTTATACCATAACCAGTGCTAAACAAACCCAGAAGCCAAACAGAAGTCATGGGTAAAATAATCCATAATCTAGATGAACTGAGAATGCAAGCAGTTATTCAAGAGATTCTACTTTCTATTACACCCACTTTTACTGAAAATAGCGAAATATAAAAATAATGAAATTCTTAAATCATGTCATGTGTCTGAAACAAATAAATACATCAGTACTACTTTGTTTAATTGAATTAAAACATACATACACACAGAAATTTCAGAACACAGATTTACCAAGTGGCACAATACATTTTGGACATTTTGTGCAGAAAACAAACAAAAACAAATCTTTGAGAAAAACAATTATGACTTCCATAAAAATGGCATCCTATTTCTATTGAAGAGAAAATAAAGATTTCAAGTTTTACTAACAAGTAAAAACATTTCTACTCTACAGTGTAACAGGGAAAGTGTCTATGGGTCATCAGTTATCACTCAGAGCAAACTGCTTTGGGTATAACAGACTTGCTGTTTCTTCCTAGAATTACAATGGCCGGTAATATACCTTGTGGAAATTCTGGTTCATCATTTACCATCATTTCCCTAGTGTCTGGCTAGCCACCATGTTAAACTTGCAAATTTTTAAAAAGCAAAACACACAAGCATGTAGAATAAGCACCTTCACAAGAACATTTAGACCAATGGTTCCCAACCTGTGGGTCATGACCCCTTTTCAAAGGGTCACCTAATACCATCTGCATAGTAGACATTTACATTAAGATTCCTAACAGTAACAAAATCACAGTTATGAAGTAACAACAAAAATAATCATATTGCCGGGGTCACCACAACATGAGGAAGTGTATTAAAACAAATATTCCACATAATTTCTTACACAAATATTTGTAAAATTAAAAAAAGCTACTCACCAGTATATTTGATTACACGAATTGTTGAATCTCCTTCACCAAATTTAGTGAGAGGAGTTAGTCGGACTTCATAGGCCTCTGGTTTAATTAGTTCAGTCAAGTTATATGTAATTAGTTCTCCCTTTTGAATATTCCCATTTATTTTAATCTCCTGTTCCCACCAACGTTGTTGTCCAGCCTGAAATAAAAATGATTGTATAATAATGTTTCTAGCAGCTAATTTAAGATTACTTGCTTTTTCCTAAGGAAATGAAAAGCAGTTTGGAAGTTTATTAAACTTCATTTTTGGAGTTTATTAAACATCTCATATTTTATACATATGTCATATATATGTATATTTTATAAATACATATATTTTATAAAATCTTTTGCTGATGTTTCTTGATAACTGCAAAATTATTAGAGGTTAATTACATAGATTCAATTGATTTGAATGGATCATTTTATATTGAGAGTTGGATCATTTAAACAAAGACCATCATTTGATGTTTGAAGAGGTGTATATGTAACTACGTTTAACATAAATTATTGATGGTGTGTTAGATTCTTAAACCACTGTAACTTCTTTATCATATCAACGAACATATACACTGTAGATCTAATAGTTTCTAGGCAGAACTGTAGGTATGAGAGTTATAACATATGATAAGTATTTCCTTGAAACTTGCAGTCCATTGAAATCAGAGAAATAATGAAGACGGAAATAAAACTCACTATAAAATGATTTCCAAAAGTTATATATGTAAATAAAAATTCCATGTGATGAAGCAAATGTCAGTGGAAAGGATCCATCTCTAAGTAAACACAGGGCCACTCCATAAGAATGATGTTTGGTTCTTAATAGATAAAGTCAGGTATCTGCCATTGGGTTCAGGAGGATGCACATGTAAGGGACTTTGAAATAATTTTTCTAGTGGAGCAAAAGGGATCAAAACATGACTGAGGCAAGCTGAAAAGGGAATGAGTGTCATACAGTATGCTACACTGAATACACAGTGCTCAGAAAATTTTATGATTAATTTGTGGTCAGGGGGCACTAGGTACTGAACTCAAGGCCTCAATCATGATGGCAAGTGCTCTCTGAGGTACATCCTTTAGCCTAGGTCAGACAATTTTACACAACATAAATATAAATTATGAATAAACCAAATGTGGTCTTAGTAAAGACTCTTCCAGAGTTTTAAAAAGAGCCTCTTTTAGTAATTCCATTAATTTTAAGAAATAACCTAGTAGAGCAATTAAGAAATATTAAGCACTTATGAAATAAATTATGAAATAAATAGTTTCTGTCATGCAACTTCCCATTTGATTTGTTCCTCAATAGTCAAGAAATGTTCAACATTAAGAAATCTGATAAAGGAAGAAGAATAAGTTTGCTTTATGTGGAGAAACACTGGACAAACAAACATTTATTTACAGCAAAACTATTGATTGGCTAGAAACAAGAACTTGATTAATCCCATGAATGAATTGGAGCATAAATCTATAAGATGCTTAATTAATAATATTCATTTATTGTAATTGTTTATTTTGGAATTGAAAATGAGAAAAGAATATTGTGTCTTACCTAGTCACAATCAGAAACAAGAAAGCACTTAGTAATAGAGATTGTGGACTTGTCCTCATCCTTATAGAAGCACTGGGTCTTTCAATTTCTCAGATTCTCTCTCCTTCCCTCTTTCCCTCTTATGTGTATATTTGATTTTCCCTCATACAAATAATACCTCTTCTTCATTTCTGATTCATGTGACTATATTTTTCTAACATTTTAAATTTTATTAATTAAATTATTGCATCTTATTCATTAGCATTCTTGATAGGTAATTATAGATTTATTTATTGTTGCAAGTTGAGGTTTTGTTTTATTTTAATATATTTTGCTTGCTTATTCAATTATCATGCATTTTTTACTCTTCCTAAATCCAATAATACAGATGAAAGTGAGGTGAAAGATAATAGGCATAGCTTATTTATAATAATTTCTGCTACTGTCCATACCTAAAATATATTACATATGCTCTAGTTTGTGGTAATGTATGCCCCCTGCCCCCTATATTTTTTAAATTATGTGCTTATCATGTGACTGATAATTCCCCTACTGGGGGATGTTTGGGACTAAAGTCAAAGATATAGTCTTTTAGCGACATACCTTTGTTCTGACATGCTCCTAAGGGCATCAAGCAAGGCCATTTGTTCTTTGACTGTGAAATCCTTTGATAGCACAGATAAAGGTGAAAAAAATTCCCTAGTTCCACTTGTCATAGGTTTTCATTTTTGTTTCTATCAAATTGTTAAGAATCAAAGTTCAGGTTTGCCTTGGTGGTGAGCAGTTGAGGACAACACTTGTTTGAATAGGAATTCTCCTTACTATTGTGGCTGATGATTTACATGTTTGCTCAGATTTTCTCTTTCCTCTCTCTCTCTCTCATTCTCTCTCTCTCTCTTTCTCTCTCTCTCTCTCTCATCTCTGTACACACATATACATGAATTTCTTATATGTACACATATTTGTGTATATATATATATTGTTTCCATATACTATGTATGTATGCATAGTGTGTACATTTACGTACATTCATATGAATAGTGATTTGTTCTCTGAAGGTGGATTTGGTCCTAACTAGAAAGCTTGGATTCCTACTGTTCTTATACTTCTACTGTTGTATTTCTGAAAATGGAACTCTCTAATGTGTGTAGTGTTTGTGTTTCTCACTAATTTTGTCTTGAAACTCACTGCACTTAAAAAAAAAAAAAAAGGAAGCAGAAGCAGACACCCACAGTAAGCACTAAGCTGAACTCCTGGAATCCAGTTGCAGATAGGAAGGAGCAATGGAGTCAAGACAAGGCTGGTGAAACCCACAGAAACAGGTGACCTGAAAAAGGGGGAGCTCATGAACCCCAGACTGATGGCTGGGAAACTAGCATAGGACTAATTCAGACAACCCTGAACATGCCTGTGAGGAGGCCTTGGCAATATGTGGGGCCTCTGGTAGTATATCAGTATTTATCCCTAGCATACAAATGGACTTTAGGAGCCCATTCCACATAGAGGGATACTCTCTCAGCCTAGACACAGCAAGGGGAGGGCCTAGGCCTTGCTCCAAATGATGTGACAGACTTTAAAGATCCCCCATGGAATGCCTCATCCTCCCTGGGACGCAGAAAGGGGATGGGATAGGGAATTTGTAGGGGGACAGGGGAGGATGACAAAGATCCTGACAAAGAACTACAGACAATTATGGGAACTAAGAAACTCTGGGAGTGGGAGAAGCCATCTTCCCTAGAGAACAGCACATCAATTGGATTTATACTATCAAATGGTCAGTCCTGAAAATGTATACATACAAGTGATGGGGGATGGCCTTCTGTATAATTGTTTCTCTCATTGGTTGAGGAATAGAACACTGATTGGCCAGTAGCCAGGCAGAAAGTATAGGTGGGGCTACCAGTTGAGGAGAATTCTGGGGAGAGGACACAGAGAGAGGCTGCCAGAGAGATTCCGTGTAGCCATCAAAGGAGTAGCATGTCTCAGCATTCTCCAGTAAGATAAGGACACATAGAAATACATAGATTAATAGAAATGGGTTAATAATTAAGAGACACCTATCCAATAAGAAGCCTGAGCCATTGGCCAAACAGTTCACAATCAATATATCTCTATGTATTTATTTAGGTGCAAATGGATGTGGTACCAGAGGGGAAGGAAACTCTTCTGCACACAAGTAATATATTTACTGATCAGATTGTATTTACATACTTAGAATTATATGAATATATATTACACACACAACAATAATTAATAAAAACCGGCCAAAGACCATAAATCAGAGTAAGATAAATGGTGGAGGTACAAGAAAAGAGTGGGAGAGAAGAAAGGAAAAGAGGAAAATGATGTAGTTATATTTAAATGTAATAAATAAAACATGGAAATAAAAAAGACAAAAGAGAGGAGATAAATATTACTATGGGTAAAGTAGAAACTCACAATTGATCAGCATACAGAGAATGAGTGTCTGTGGAGTACTCAGCCACATATAGGACATCTGTATGTCCTGCCCTTTCTCAAGGCTCTGAGACTATTGAGGGAGATTGCAGAAGCCATAGATCTGGGAGCATCAAAGGAAACAGTGTCTTCTGGAAATGCCATGAACTCACAAAAGCTTTGTGGTTGTGTGCCTAGGAGCTTAGAGTATCACAGTGAATATTCTAATATGAACTGAATGTGGTGGGACGTTTACAACCCCCACCACTGATGGAGGAACTATGGACATCTGAGAGCTTCTAGGGAAGGAGAGTGGTTCTTTTTTTAAGGTTGTAGTCCCTGCTAGGTCAACACCACACCCATTAATATATGGCCTGCACAAACTGGACTTTGTTGGTTATTCCAAAAAAGGCAAGAAGTTTGGAGGGTTGGAGGTAGTGGTGGATTTGGAAGGAGTTAGTGAGAGCAGGAGGGGTGAACATGATCAAAATGCATTGCATGAAACTCTCAACAAATTAATAAAATCATCTATTTTAAAACTCTGCTGTCATTAGCATTCCTATTAAAGAGGATGCATAAGCCTGAGATTTGAATAACTGTTTGTACCACACAGAGATAACCTGAATATATTAAAATTCTTATAAGTAAACAAGAAGCAGAATTCAGTGACAAAATGACTCAGGTAATAGGTATTTCACAGATGAAGAAACTCCAATAACTAATTAATTAGGGAACTCTAAGTCCTCACAATGAATCAATGAAATAGAAATTAAATCCACATTATTTCACATAATCAGATAGACTAAAGTATTAAAAATGTAACAGTACTAAAGTTCGGTGTAGCCATAAAACAATAAGAAACTTTAAGAATGTCAGAACCTATGTGCAAGAAATGGAAGTGACTCTTACTCCACCTCACTAACAATAAGACTGTAAAGGTGCTGTGGATTCACACAGGAGGTTGGAAAACGTTGACTCTGTACAGGATTTATGACACAGTAGACATCTATCTTAGAGCCCTGGTTCCTCTTAGCTCCATATCTCATGGGATAACAAATCACCAGGCTGATGGTACATATGGTTTCATGTGTCTGAAGGACCCTTAGTTTTCAAAGCCCTACGTCTTTAACAGGCAGCAACCAAACCAACCCAACGTATTTATATCTTTATTATGCTGCACATCAAACCTTTCCTGT